CCTTCCTGGCCTTTCCCAGCCCAGATACATATCACACCGGCCCCCATTCAGTGTCCTCAGCTGGCTGTCAGCTAATCCCTGCAGAGGTGTTAACTGATAATTAAGATGTTAGCTGTAAACTTAACGTGTGATTCCCTGCCAGGAGTATTCTGATTTTAACAGGTTCCTCTTCAAAATGGGAAAACCTTCAAGACCCAGCCAAATGGCAGACGGGGAAGCAGAGTGGGGGGGGGGGATTTTGTGCCTGGAGCCCTTCCAGCCTTCTTGGAAACTGCTCCCCTTCGCCTCTCCCTTCACCTGGGTGGACAGAACACAGGTGTGGTTACAGAGAGCTGCTTCCCAGGCTCAGCTCCACCTCCTAAGAGCTGATGCCATTGGACATGTGATGACTGCTCACAGAGCCTCAGTCTCCTCATCTGCAAATGGGTATACAGAATACCACCCCTGCAGAACTGTGAGGGCACACAGGAGGCCCTCCATACTTGAGAGCTCCCATCCTTCCTAACTTCCCTTTGCCTCTTCCCTCACTGAAGGCAACTGTGTCCGCTTCCACTCCTGCCCCCACACACTCCACCCCCCATCAGTGACCAAGCCTCCGTTCTCTCAACTTCCCAAATGACTCCCCAGGCACAGATCAGCGGGATCGAATGATGGCCAAGGAGCTGCAGAGCAGGGAGGAAAGCTTACTCAGTCAAGTGTCAAAGCAACTGGCTGATCATTTGGGGCAAAACACTTGGATCCCTACCTCAAACCACATACACAAGAACATTCCAGATGAACTACAGATTTAAATATTTTTAAATCTCATAAACAACTAGAAAACAATGGAAGACAATATTTTCAATACTTTGCAGCTGGGGAAGGCCAGAAACTGTAAAGGTCAAGAGAGGCCAACCTGACCACGGGACAGTTTTCAACATGTAAGGGGTTAAGAAAAGCTCTATAAACTTAAATGACAAAACCCCCACAAAACTGTGAGAAAATATTTGCAACATATGACAGATAAAGGGTTAAATCCCTTAACCTCTTATAAATCAATTTGTTCCTGCAAGTCAATAAGATGCATTTCACACATCCGCCCGCCCCCCATCACTGAAACCAAGGTCATCTGTGATCTCCCGCAGCTAATGCATGATCAATGTTCCCTCTGCATCTTACTTGACCTCATGCTTGAAGCATGTCTTGCCCTTGGCTTCCAGGACCTCATACCTGCCTGGTTCTCCTCTACCCCACTGGTTGCTTTTTCTTACCTTTTTGGTTCCTCCTCAGCTCCCCAACTTCTAACTGAAGGAGGCCCCAGGGCCAAGTCTTTGGTGCTTCTCTTTTCTATGTATATCCACTCCCTTGATGATCTCAACCAATCTCAAGGCTTGAAATACTACTTTTATGCTGATAATCCCAGATTTGTGTCTCCAGCCCAGACCCCTCCCCCGAACTCCAGCCTCACACATCCAACTATCAACTCCACCCTTTTTGGACATCTGCGGGCATATCACACTTTGCATGTCCCCAGCTGGGGCCTGCTCACTGGTGTGCCCACTGGGCAGTCACACAAGGCCCCAGAGTGTGGTTTCATGCTCTTGGTTTAATGCCCTACTGTTATCACTTAGCAATTCGTAATAATTTTTTAAACAGAGGTCCACTCATTTTCATTTTGCTCCAGGTCCCACATATTATGCAGCCAGTCCTGTCCACAGGTGAGCTGCTCTCCTCACCTACACCAAACTCACTCCTCCTTCTTCTCTGTCCAATCTCTGTTGATGGCAGCCCCACCCCTCTAGCTACTTGGGCCCAAGCCCTTGGAGTCACTGGACTCCATGGATTGACTCCATTATGGACTGAATGTTTGTGCTCCTCAGAATTCATCAGCTGAAGCCCTAACCCCTAATGTGGTCCTGGGAGGCGGGGCCTTTGGGAGGTAATTAGGATGAGATGAGGTCGTGAGGGTGGGGCCTCTTGATGGGATTAGTGTCCTTACAAGAAGAGGAAGAGACACCAGGGCTCTCTGCGGTTAAGTTAGAGGTCATGGGAGCGCACGGTGAGATGGTAGCTGTCTGCAAGCCAAGCACGGGTCCTCACTGAGAACTGAGTCTGCCAGCACCTTAATCTTGGACTTCCCAGTCTCCGGAAGTGTGAGGAATACATGTGCGTTGTTTAAGCTACCCAAGTTTATGATGTTTGGTTATGGCAGCCCAAGATGACTAATGTAGTCATCCTTGGCTCCCCTCTGTCTCACATAAACACTCCACCTCATCCAAACTGTCAGCAAGTCCTATTGGCTCTACCATTAGCACCCACCCAGAACCCATCTACTTCTCCCCACCTCCATCAAGCGCCCCCACTCAAAGCGCCCCCCCCGTCTCTCCCCTAGATCATTACAACAGCCTACTGACTGATCTCCCCGCTTCCCTGGCCCCCTTCACAGCAGCCAGGGGGATCTGGTTAAAATGACATTCAGATCACATCATGTCACTATTCGGAACCTTCCATGGCTCCCTGCTTTATCCTGATTAAAAGCCAAGGGTGGTCCATGTGGCCCTGCGTGACCTGCTTCTGGTCCCTCTCCGGCCATACCTGCCACTCTCTCTCACTCCCCACGTCCCAGCCACTCTGGCCTTCTCGTTGTGCCCCGAACACACCCGGCCTGCCTGGCACCCAGGCTCCCATCCACGGGCCTCACTCGCTTGCTTCCTGCCGGTGCTTTCTGCAGCGCCATCTCCCAGGGAGGCCTTCCTGACTACCAGCTCCAGCTGCCCAACACTTCCCATCACCTGCCCTGCTTTATTTTTCCCTCCTTCGCACTTAACACTCAACACACACATTAGATTTCACTCATTTACCCATTTCTCTTGACTATCTCTCCTCCACTAGAGCCTAAGTTCCAGGGGACAGGTCTCTGTTGTCAGTGTTGTTCACTGTTAGGTCCCTAACCAAAACGGTGCCCCACATAGTAGGTGCTCAAGAAATGCCTGCTGAATGAGTGGACAGATGAGTAGAAAAACGAGCTGAGAACATGCCATCAACAGGCAATTCATAAACGAAGAAATGAAAATGGCCAACAAACATATACACAGATATGCTCAACCTCATTCGTAATCAAAGAAATGCAAAAGAAAATCCATTTTACCTAACAGATTAGCAGAGATTTAAGTGATTGCTAATGCCCACGACTGGCAAGGATGAGGGGACGAGGCCTCTTGCACATGGGAAGTCAGCACAACCTTCTGGAGGTTGACGTGGCTGTAGAGACCACACCTGGAAAGGTGTGTGCCGTCTGACCCAGCCGGTCCGCTTTCAGAAACACTCCTGAAGGACCCATAAGACAAGTGCACACAGAGGCACCAACAGGGAGGTTCCCTGAGGGAGGTTTATAAACAGCCACACGCTCACAACAATCTGCATGGCCACCGGCAAGATTGATCATTGATACATAATTTAAAGATCACCCAAAAATGGGCATAAAAGGATAAGGAAGAACTCTGGAATGATCTATACAGTATGTTGTTAGGTGAAAACTCGTGACAGAGCAGTGTAACTAGGATGAGCCCATGTTTTTGCTTTTAAAATACATCTCTAAGTGCACCAAAAAAGAGTCTGGAGAGAGATATATTGAACTAGTTAGCAGTGTTTAGTCCTGGGGAGGAAGAGATTATGGGAAAGGCTCAAACAGCATGCTTTAAACACTTTCGGGCTGTTAGATAGATAGATAGGTAGAGGACATATAGAGAACATTACCTTACTGGTCAGAAAAATGACTTTACTTGCCATGGAAACACTTCCCCTGTCTCCCCAGTGTTGCAAGGTGCAGAAATAGGACATTGCAAGCCCTCCATTGTCTGGCTCTGTCTTACCCCTGTTACCCCCCACCTGCACCCCCGCACCCCAAGCACTCTGGGTTCCAAGCTCGTGAGACAATTTTCTATTCTTGGTTCTTTTCACAGCTCCAGGCCTGTCTCACAGCTCTGTTCATGGGCACAGAGGCCCAGCCGGCTCCACCCCATGCCCTCCTCAGCCCGGACTCTGCTGTCAGAGAGCCAGAGGGGAGGGCAAGGACCCTGAGAACACTCTTAACAGCCTCCAGCGGGAACCCCCAGGTCTCTGCCCCAGGGCTGGCCTGTGGGACCTGGGGGATCAGGAGATGTCCACTGATTGTGACCTGAGCAGGCCTGGCCCCCGCCCTGGCTCCAGGACAGCCGTCATAGGCACTGGAGGCAGCTGATTTAAGGGGGTCAAGGCGGGCCCATCAAGGACTCGTCAGAAGAAGAGGGGGACTGGGGCTTCAGACAACTAGAGTTGTCAGATTTAGCAAAAATTGTATATCCAATGCAGTATTGGGGATATACTTATGCTAAAAAATGATTTGTTATCTGTTTGAAGCTCTAATTCAACTGGACATCCTGTAAATTTTTCTGGCAAGCCTAGCCCACAACCCAGCCCACCTTTGGAGCACTTGGCCCTAAGCAGAAGGCCTCCACCCGGGCGCCCAGGAGCAGCAGAGAAACGCCGAGTGGATTAAAAGTGAGCTGGGCTGCTCCTGGTGCCCGGAGGAGCACCCCGGCCCCGGCGGGAGTCCTGCAGAGAGCTGGGGCCTTCCGGAGTAAGAGCCGTCACTCATGGAAGCACACACACAAGGCCGGTGCAGTGACTCTGGCAGAGAAAAGCCAGAGTGACAGCAAAGGGAGCCCCACAGATGCAGAAGCTACCACAGTCAACGTACTTAGCAAGTGCGTGCCGGGAAAGGATGCTGAACAGACCGCAGATAGCGAGCATGTCAGAAAACAACTGGGCTGGCAGAATGATATGTCCTGGGGCCTCTCGGTGGCCCCCAAGCCCCCCAGGAGGCCCTGCTGTGGCCAGAGCCTTTAAACCCCACCCGTGTCCCACAGCATCGCGCCTGGCAGGGGCTCATTCACCGAGGCCCATCCCGCTCCTCGCTCCCAGAGCCCTCCCACCCAAAGCAGAGGCATGAGGCAGTGGGAGCGCCCCTGCTCTCCGCCTACCTGGGTCAGATGGCGCTGGGAGGCAAACAGATCAGCCTCTGGGGGCCCAGGGAGCAGCAGCCTATCGGTCGCGGTCTCAGCATGCACTGCAGGGCAAGAGCAGGAAGGTTAGTGCCGCTAAGATGAGTCTGTACTACTCAACCCAGGATTTCTGGCTTCGGCCTCCCCACCACCACCAACAGCCCCTGCGAGTTTCCAGGAGGACGCCCCACCATCCGTGCCGGTCCCCTGGTCCAGCCTGCGGGTCTCTGGCTGGCTGACCACTCCTCCCTCACTCAGCGCCAGCCACACCGCCACCCTGCTGCTCCCTCTGCCCCCGGCCCCCACTTCCTCCTGATCCTCACAGGCCCCGCTCCTTCTCCTGATCCAGATTCAGCTCAAGGCACCTCCTCAGAAAGCCCTCCCTGAGCTCCAGGTGCGGGAGGCCCTCCTTCCCCGTGTCACACGACCCTGATTAACTGATCTGTCATTCGGGTTGCCCTGTCTCAACAATCTCACAGAGAGCTTTTTTTTTTTTTTCCAGGCAGGTTAATTGAGCTATAATTTACCTACAGTAAAATTTACTCTTTCTAGTGCGCAGTTCTATGCGTTCTCACAGCTGCAGACAGCCGTGTAACCACTACCACACTCAAGACAGAGAACAATGCTATCAAAACTCTCCACGTGCTGTCCTTTGTAGCCAACTCCCCGCCAACCCCAGTCCCTAACAACCACTGACCTATTTTCTGTCTCTATAGTTTTGCCTTTTCCAGAATGTCAAACAAATGGAGTCATCTACAGGTATCTTTTTGAGTCTGGCTTTATTCGTTTAGCATATAACGCATTTGCGATTTACCTTCGTTGTTTCTTTGTTGTTCCCAGTTTCATTCTTTTTTTATTGCTGAGTAGTATTCAATTGTTCATCCATTTACTAGCTGAGAGGTTTCCAGTTTGGGGCAACTATGAATAAAGCCACTATCAATAGTCACATACAGGTTTTTATGTGAACATAAGTTGTTACTTCTCTTGGGTAAATACCTAGCAGTAGGATTGCTGGGTTATACAGTAAACATATTTTTAACTTTATAAGAAACTGCCAAACTGTGGTTTTTTTGTGTTTTGTTTTTTTTTTTTTGCCGAACTGTTTTCTAAAGTGGCTATACCATTTTGCATTCCCTCCAGCAACACCTGAGAGTTCTAGCTGCTCTGTATCCTCACCTGGACTTGGTATTGCCAATTTTGTAGATATCAGTGTAATAGACATGCAGTGGTGGCTCCCTGGTTTTAATTTTTCACATACCCGATTTATTGTTTTCATACCATCTCTATTTGGAATTATCATTTTAATTTAATTATTTATCCCTTTATCTTCCATTTTCCCAATCATATGTGAGAGCAGGGACCTTGACATCTACCCCAACCCCTGCAACGCCTAGCACAGTATCTGCTACTGGATGATGGTGATGATGATGGTGATGGTAATGATGGTGATGATGATGGTGATGATGGTGATGATTGTGATGATGATGATGGTGATGATGGTGATGATGATGGTGATAGTGATTATGCTGATGATGGTGACAATGATGGTGATGATGATGATGGTGATGGTGATAATGACGGTGATGGTGATGATGGTGATGATGGTGATGATGATGGTGATGATGATGATGATGGTGAGGATGATGGTGATGATGGTGATGATGGTGAGGGTGACGGTGATGGTGGTGGCGGCTGCAGTGGTGATAGTTAACATTTATAGAGTACTTATCATGTGCCCAGCACTATTCTGAGTACTTCACAAATACTAACTCATTTAATGCTCACACTTACCCTAAGAGAGATAGATACTATCATTCTATCAATATCCCCATTTTAAGAGGAGAAAGCTGAGGCAGAGGGAAGTACCTAGCCCAACGTCATATAGCTGATGATGGGCCAAGCCAAGCTTCAATCCCAGGAGTTCTGGAATCAGACCCCACGGTTGTTATCAGTATACTCTATGGCCCACAGCGGCCATATTTGCTGAAGGAATGAAAGCCTGGAAGAAAGGCAGTATCTTCCAGCTCTCTCTCATGGCAAGGGTATGCTCTTGAGCTTGGGCACATATCCAATGTGCCATAGACGGAGTGTTTGTGTCCCTTTCACCCCAATTTCATATGTTGAAACCGAAGCCCAGTGTAATGGTATTTGGAGGTGAGGCTTTGAGGGAAGGGATTAGGTCATGAAGGTCTCATGAGTCTCATGAATGGGATTAACACCCTTACAAAAGGGACCCCAGAGAGCTCCCTTGTGCCTTGTGCCATATGAGGACACCATAAAAAGATGGCCATCTATGAACCAGGAAGTGAGCCCCCACTAGACACCAAATCTGCCAGCATCTTGATCTCAGACTTCCCGGCCTCCAGAACTGTGAGAAATAAACTTCTCTTGTTTATAAGCCACCCAGTCTGTGGTATTTTGTTAGAGCAGCCCAAATGGACTAGACATAATGGCTTCTGGAAGTCTCCTCTTGGATTTTCTCCCTCCAAAACTGAACTCATCTTCACTCTCATTCCTGCTTCTCCTCTTGAGAAATTCATTTTTTGGGATGGTGTTGGTATTGAAAGCCGTCAACGGGGTAAGGGGGGGAGAGGTGGAGTCAAACCTAGAGCCTGGTGGGTGGAGGCCCTGGACCCGGGCCTGCCATGGGGCTTATTTATCCGTAGGGACTCTTCCTCAAAGCTTTTCCCATCAGGCTCTCCCAGACATCTGGGCTTCCCCAGCCCTAGCCACCTCAGGTGGAAAGAATGAACAGCGAGTTGGCTCTTCTGAAACCCTGGCTCTGAGAGGGGTCCCACAACACCCCTTGTACAGAAGATTCTACTGGTCGCTGAATGTCTGGGCACATTTCCTCCACACCCTCTTCCTCCCAGCATGATGTGACCTTTCCTCAGCCCCCTTACAGTTAATGGAGGCTATATGAGAATTTCTGGCCAATGGGTTGTAAACAAGAGTGATGTGTGTCACTGCTGGGCCAAGGTATTTAAGAGCAGAGTGTGACTCTACCATTTTCTCTCCTTTGCCACAGTGACTGAAGGAGACCACGTGTTCCAGATGGGGCAGCTACAAGATGGTGGAGCTTCTGTCAGCCCAGGTCCCTGGATGTCTGTATGGACCAGAGTCTGCCACCCTCCCTACTTCCCACATTGGACGTGTAATGTGAGGTCGTACTGTAAGTAAAGGAAGAAAGGGCAGGGGAACCTTTGTTGTACCAACTCACCGAGAGTTCCCAGCGAACGTGTTGTGCAGCACACCTCTGCCTACCCTCCTGCATCCCCACTGGCCACTTGGGGCACATGACCTTACCGAATTTGGTTTGAGGGCGTCTCTGGATGACTTTCTGAGTGAGAGAACCAAGCTCCATCTGGGAGCCCCTAAATAACTAGGATTTCAGTGGGGGACAGAAATATGTCAATCCCCAGTTTCAAGGGTTCCCTATCCACCAGGGAAAGGGGGGAGTTTCAGGCCCTGTAGCAGGATTCATCAGCGGGACAATTCCCCCCTGGAGAAGGGAGGTGTGAGCAGACGCAAGTGACAGCATCTCCATGACAGCTGAGGCCTTGGCCTACATTCAAGGGCTTGAATTTGACTTTAGAAAAAAGGCTGGGGCATCCTCAGAGCTTTACCCCTGGCTCAGGTCTGGAATCAGCTTTGGAAAGGCCCTGGGGCCCCCTACTTGCCTGCCCTGGATTAACAGCTGAGGGCTAGGGGACTCCAGCAGGGCTTGGGGCCACAAATGAGAGCAAGCTGCAAGCTGAATTATACATTTATATTTTGAACTTATTGGCACTTTACTTTGGCAGTTATCGCCTTAAATGTTGTGTGCTCCTGTGGGACAATACAGGGAACAGGGAGAAGAGGCAGCCCCTCAAGATAACAGTGGGCTCTGGCAGGCGACCCAAGAGGAAAGCCCCTAATGTCCATAAATGCCCCTGTGATTCCTCGTTCTTTCCAAGAAGTAAGATTTGGCGGTAGTGGATTATACTGCCTCCCCTAAAAAAAAAAAAAAAAAAGGGTAGCATACAGCTTCCTTGTGGCTGTTAGAAAGGCTTCTATTGTAAGGGCAAACTTGAAAAGTTTCTTAGGTATGAGTGCTGATAGCTAGTGTCAGTACTTGTCTACGTGCATCCAAAGGCTCGAATGGCTTTGAACTTGGGCCAGGTTAGCTGGAAGTCAGAGTGTGGTGCAGCACCCTGCAGAAGTCCTGGGGTATACTGGGGAAAGGGTCTTGGATTGGAGGTGGGGGGAGATGTTGAAGAAACCCCTGGGACAAAGCCAGGCTTGGTGGAACCTGGGGACCCTGGAGACCCCGGGGACCAGGCTTCCCAAAAACAGTCATAAAGAATCCTCTCTCAGAGGCTTTGGGGTAGGGGGTCTGCTGCCTCTCTCAGAGGCTTTGGGGTAGGGGGTGTGCTGTGTAATTGGGTGTAACTGTCCCCTGGGAAGCACTGAAGCAAGTTCAGCCATCCTTCGGGTTAAAAATAAACAGGTGTGACTGATAACCGTGCAACTGAAAACAAAACCCTGCAAGCAACAGGCAATAACTGCTCCATTCTTTAACACCAGGATTTATTTACCTGGGAGTTTATTTTGATGATGAGAAATCCATAACGGTGAGTTTGGTGATTTCGGCGAGAAATTTTTAACTGGGTGCAGACCTGAGGTTTTAACCCAGTTTGAGCACCTTGCACGGACCCTCACAGCCATGGGATTTGCTTGGATATGCTAATGGGAAGAAACTGTGCCCAGAATCTGCTGTGCTTTCTGCTTTTGTTTCCTATGGGCAAGTTTCCTGGCCAACGATGCTGAGAATGACTCATCCCACGGTCAGGGATCCAGTGATGGCTGTGGCTAGAGGGGAGAGTTGGCTGGGCTGGGGTCAGCTCAGACCCCCCGCCGAAAGTACACCTGAGCATCTCCACTCAGGGAGGAAGGAGTTTTAGATCTGGCTGTTATGGTCTGGTTCTCAGAGACCGGATAATGTTGGGATGAATGCATGGGCTTGCAGAAAATGCCTGACTAGAACTGCTTGGGGGAGGATCCCCTGAGTGCAACATGAATCGTTCTCCCCTGAATGGTTTTTGCTGACTGATTGGGCTTTAATTCACTGTCTGCCGAGGGCTTGGGGGCTGAAAACAGAGGACAGAGGACAGAGGTACTTTGCCAATACAAAGGCAAGTATTGGACGAAGTTCCTGCAGGGAATTGAGGAAGAGCTGGCCCAGGGGTGAGGTGACAGGTGGAGGGAAGATGGAGGGGAAGGAGAAGGGAAAGAGGCATAGACACAGTGACGGTGAACGCCTTGCCATCATCGTCATCAGACTCATCACAGAGAGCATCCAAGGAGACCTCATGGGCTAAGCACTTCCTAGGTGCTAACACATTTAATCTCCACGAACATCTTGCGAGGCGGGTACCGTGATTGACTACATTTTCAGAATGGGGAAACTGAGGCACAGAGAGGGGAAGTAACTTGCCTTGTAAGGAACGGGGCTGCATGTCCAAGCCAGGCAGTGTGGTTCCTGCACTGGTCCTAAGAGTCCCTGATGAAACCGGGTTGGTCAGGTTAGAAGTGAATGAAAGTTTCCTCCATGCTGTTGGTGGCAATTCTGTCTGGGAGGGTCAGATCTAAGATGTCGAAAAAAATCCCCTTTTTGTCACTTACTGCTGTGTCACCTTGAGCAAGTTACTTAACCTCTCTGAGTCTGGTTCCTCGTCCATCAGACATACTTCATACGGTAGTCGGGATGACAGAGTGCGCGTGCGTGGTGCCGCGTACAGTAGCTGGCAGGGAACAGACTCCCCACACCCCTCCCGCTCCGTGCAGCCACAGTACAGATGCCCCATCTCCACACCTGAAGCATGTACCTGCACGCACACATGTACTCCTCTGTGCTGTGTCCCTGCTCAGGTGAGCAC